CTCCAGTCATTGACCTTATGGTTCTCAGTCCAGTGATCATTCTACAGAGTCACTGAGCTCCACCTGGAGGATGATACGGAAGTAATGTGCTCTCTTGAGAGCTTGTAAATAAAAGGAAAAATTCGAGCAAGTATCATGTCTTTTCTACATGAATTCTACCACTGCATAACAAGAGTTGTTGTTGTGAAGTGTTGTCGAGTCGATGCCAACCCATAGTGACCTTGTATAGAGTTTCCAGGAGCAGCTGGTGAGCTTGAACCACCGACCATGCAGTTCAAACGGCTTTGCAGTCTGGCGCATTAACCCACAGCGCCACACCAGGACTCAAAACAAAAGAGATGATAGAAATCATTTCTTTATGGGCTAGTTATAACCATTTCAGCTAATAAGTGAAAAAGAAATAAGGAGGTCAACCTTTCACACACCCCCTAGAAAGGATCTGGAGTCCTGGTGTGGTGCTGTAGGTTAAACACTGGACTGCTAATCTCAAAGTCAGCAGTTCAAACCCACCAATCACTCCCTGGAAGCCTTATACAGGGTTGCTGTGAGACGGCACTGATTCAGTGGCACTTAACAACGATAAGAAGGATGGATCTAGATAATGAGCATGTTGTTGTTAAATGGCGTCATGTCCATTCCAACCCAGAGCGACCACCACCTGCCAAAGGTATAGAAACTGAATGTCATCAAGTCTATGCATCCAGCTGCTGATTTGCAAAAGTATAGAAAGTGAGGAGCATGTCAGACTATAGCTACAAGGATCAGGTTAACAAAAGCAGTACTGGGAAAAACTACAGATCTGAATGTCCTAGGGTTTGGGGTTCTCAAACAGATAAATTCTATGGAAAAGAAGAGAAAACGGCAAATCTATGGATTAAAAGAGACTTCTTGTCGTTGTTGTTTCCAGGGAGTGGCTGGTTGTTTTGAACCATCAACCTTGCGGTTAGCAGTCCAGTGCTTATCCTACAGCACCATACCAGGGCCCAAAAGACACTGATTATTTTTAAGGTAAGACTAAATTGTAGTGTCTGTGGATGCATTCAGTTAAAAGTGGTGCTTGACAGACCAGCCTGGAGCGGCTAGAAGAACAGAAGATGCTTCTTGAAAGAAAGACCTACAGGAAAAATCAAAAACAATAATGGCTGTCCAATGACTACTACAAGAACAAGCAAGTTGTTTTCCGGGAAGTCATCAAGGCAAGTAGTCGCGTCCTCTCAGGGCAAACCCCCTTTCAAGACTGAGACTCAAGCGGAATACACGAGCAGGCATGTGGTTTTGCTACTGACCACATTGGTCTACCGATAAGGGGAAGTGGGGGAAAAACAGCAATGAAGTTGTGAGCCAAGTCCGACCACATTCCAATAGACTCCTGTCAACCTGGATTGAGACCTGGTTGGCCAGCATTATGGTGAGAACTGGAGACTCCTGGGGCCAGGGACAGGGACATGGCCACAGAGGACTAGAGTGGAGACTGAAGCATCCAGCAGATATGAAGTGAAGGGAGATGCACAAGAGCACCTATACCTGCAGATAGTACCCATTTGACCTGGCTTCAATGGCTAGATGATTAGAACTCGACTAAAGGGAGCTCTGGTAGCGTAGTGGTTACAAATCAGGCTGCAAACCGCAAGGTCAGCAGTTTGAAACTACCAGCTGCTCCGCGGGAGAAAGATGAGGTGTTCTGCTCCCGTAAAGATTTATAGCCTCGGAAACCCTGTTCAGGATCGCTATGGGTCGGAATCGACTCGACGGCACTTAACAACAACAACAAGAGGAAGAAAGAAGAGGAAAAAAAGAGTTGTTGTTATTAAGTGCCATCGAGTCGGTACAGACTCATAGCGATCCCATGCATAACAGAACAAAACACTGCCCGATCCTGGGCCAACCAGTTTGATGAACTTGACCTATACTTAGAGGGAATGAATCTTTACAGCAAGGATCATCTCCCCCCCACCCCCTTGGTACACAGGGTTGACAGGGATGGACAATTTAGACATTGGCTGCCCAAAATGGGAGGCGGGGTACTGCAGAGGCACGAAGTGACTAGTTTATAAGCTTTCAAGAGGAGCCTAGTTTCAGAGGGTGCAGGGGAAGGTAGAATCTCCACTGAGTGGTTTCCAATCTGTCTGGATGGGGCTGGTGAATGGAGATGGGGATAAGACTTGTGGTTCACTAGTTAATAATTGCTATCACAACTGATTGTGAGTGTTGCAAATGTAAAGGTAGAAGTTTTGTAACAAATGGAGCGGAGTGGTTAATCTTGCAGTCCAAAAGCAGAGGCCCCTGGGACCAGCAAGGGAGAAGAGCAGAGTGTGGGACCCTATCCAGAGATGGAGACAGATGATGAGGTGGAGAGATGGAATGGCTGGGGACTCTGGACTTAGGGAGGGAGAGGGGCTGTGTGCTGATGGCCAGGGGGCAGTCTTGCAGGGTGTACCCTTTTGCTGTTTGAATGGTTATATATTCCTGAGTGCTTTGGTGTGCATCCAAAACAAAACAGAGGGGATGGAATTAAATGTTATTGAATGATGATGCACAGAGGGGATTGTAATCATTTCAATGAAACGAAATACAATAGGATGAGTGTAAAGCTGATGCTCTCCCATGTAAATTATCACTCAATTCACAATAAAAACTTAAGAAAGAAAAAAAAATGGTGCTTGAATTATTAACAGCTCACAAGTGATTACTATAAAAGTCAGAGAAGTAGCTACTTTCAGGGGAAGGAAAGTGTTGACCTTGAGGCACTAAAAAGGGCACAGAGATTGGCTGACAACATTCTGATTCTTAACCTGGGGACAGTTACAATATATTCATCTTTTAATTATAATAATCATATAATATAACACCATAATAAGTCATACATTTATTTGTGTGACTTCCTGTATCTGTTTTATTTTACAACAAAGAATTTTTATTGAAATCCTTTCAAAAGATGAAGAATAAAGTACAAAAATATAACTAATCTTCTAAATTCTAAATAAATCCTATTTTATTCAACAGATTGTTTAGGCCAAGTATACATAGGAATTGTTTTTTTTTTTTTAATCATTATAAGTAATCAATCAACAAGTGTTTATTGAGTACCTACTATGTGAGTCACTCCTGATCCATTGGAATTGGCTGATATCTTCAGATACTTGCTCAATTTCTTGAGTTGTTAACAACATACATTGGAGTGACTCACTGTAGGTTTGTGCTTTTGTACTATTGTTGATATTTTGCTTGTCTATGATATTTAGCTTTTAGGTGAATTGAACTACCACACTGTGAAGACAAGAGGCTCATGAGTGCTTCTATTCAGCACAAAATGAAGTGGCCTCTTACCTTCTTTTTAGCCTCTGTTGGCACTGAAGCCACTGTCCGGGGGTGGGGGTGGAGGCAGAGGCCTCCTGTGGGTGCTGGCAGCTAGAATTCTATGGAAACCCTTCCTTTACTGGCTGCACTGTGATGACTCATCACCCCATCCTCACAACCACAACACACATCTGGATATCCAGTTCCTAGAAATGACAGCTTCAGCCATGTTTATAATGGGTAGAGATTCCCAGCAAAACAAGAGTGTCTGAGAATCTTTACCAACCCAAGATCACAAACATCCAGGAGCAACTTACTCTTCACCACCAAAAAAACCTAATTTCTAAATCTACAATTTAACGAACACATCAATTTTCATGCTTTCTTCAAAGCAGAGAAAGCATCAGAGTTGCAGGAATACTGTACAATTGCTTCTATCTTTATCAAGATATACTTGTTTAGACAGATGTAATTGGTCTAAACAAGACTCCTGGTATGGTGCTGTGGGATCAGCAGTAGACTGTGAACCGCAAGGTCGGCAGTTCAAACCCACCAGCTGCTCCTTGGAAACCCTATACAGGGTTGCTATGAGGGAGAACAGCTCGACAGCACATAACAACAACACTACTAATAGTAATAATAGATATCTAACACTAAGCAGATGTTGTGCTCAGCAAATTCTATGTAGTCATATATGTAATTCTCATTACAACCTTAGACAGAGGTAGTACTCTGATATCCCCATTTTACATATAGTGAAATGGAGGCACAGAGAGATTACATAACTTGCCAAAGTCACATTGCTAGTAAGTACGCTTCTAGGAGGCAAACCAGGTGGTCTTAGCCACTGTGCTATTAGCCACTATCCTATACTGCCTGGACAAATCTAGTAAATGCTAGAGTGGGAAAATAGTTGCCTATATTTGATACACTCCCTGACTTGTCAAATTTGCATTTTGGATAGCTCACTCTGGCAGAGCACACAGCCAATCGATCACCAAAATGCACCCCCTCTACCTCCCTAATAGCTCTTGAAGCTGTCGGTTTCTTTCATTGCCATTGCTGCTGCTTGATCCAAGCCCCCATCACTTCTCCTCTAGATCACTACAGTAGCTTCCTAACCCATCTCCCTGCCTCTCACTCTAACTGGCAATGGAAGTAAGGTGCCAAGAGAAGTGTTCAAAGGTACCGAGTTAGCAGATGCTCACACACACATACAAAAGCTAAACCAGTTGCCACTGAGTCAATTCTGTCTCATGGCAACCTCATGTGCTGCAAAGCAGAACTGTACTCTCTAGAGTTGTCACAAGTGTGACCTTTCAGAAGCAGATGACTTTCTTCTGAGGTGCCTCTGCATGGGTTGGAACTGCCAACCTTTTGTTGATTAGTTGAGCATGTAACCAGTTCCACCGCACCAGACCCAACAATTTCTAGGAACAAAGGCTGGTGAGAAAAAGATGGATGCAGCGCTCACTTTACTAAAGTACCACCCGCATGGACCTGCCCTCAGACGACTGTGGACCACAGGAACAGTAGACAATGAGGATGGTCTGTGCTTCTCCCTACCCCCCTCCCCCAGCTTCCCTGGTGCTTGGGTCTCCTGATCAGGAAAGCTTGACTGGCTCTAGTCACCCTCCCTCCCGTACTGGCTTTATTGAAATGTGCCTTGGGTAGGGAACTGGACAGGAAGGAGCCTTCTCACATGATCCAGCCTAATCCTCCTTTTTTCCCTTCCCAAAGTGCAAACTGCAACAAGAGCACTGCTGAAATGCAGACACACAGGAGCCCACGGTGGGCAAGAAGGGTCCTCCTGCTCCTGACCCTGTGGACGACTGCACAGCTGCCCGCCCCAGGTGCCTCCCTGCTGCAGCGGCTTCCAAGGGCCACAGGTAGGTGGACGCAGGACTGAAGAACAAAACAGGGGGATTCTCACTTGTCTCTACTTGGATTTCCAGCTTTTGTGAGGGCAGCAACCCCTTGTGATCCCTCTAATAAATTCTCAAAGATAGCTCCAAAGTATTCACAGAAATGAGGAGACAGTCCAATGTTCTGTTTTTATTGCTGGAGATTTCCTTGGAGGGGGTTGGAGGGAGAGGGATGGCTTTCTCTCTCTGAGGGATTATCCTAGCAGTGACTGATTGTCTGCAGGCTGGTGGAGGACACCATGGGCTCTGAAATAGGAAAATGAAATTGTACAGACATTAGAATGCTTTATTCATCAGAGAGAGTTTCTACACAAGAGAGGAAGAAGTTTAAAATAACCTTTGAGAAGCAAGGGAATAATAAGACAAAACTGTTGCCATGAAGTCATTTCTGACTCATGGGGACCCGGTGTGTAGCAGAGTAGAACTGTACCCCATAGAGTTTTCAAGGATGTGACCATTTGGAAGGAGATCATCTGGTTTTTCTTCCAAAATGTCTCTGGGTGGGTTCAAACCGCCAACCTTTTGGTTTGTAGCCCAGTACTTAATTGTTGCACCACCCAGAAACTCCAAAGCAGACAAGAAGGAATGATTTCATGATCCACACCCCGACTTGCCTCCCAACATTATCAGCTTGTTTCATTAAAGCTGGTGTTTCCTGTTCCAAAGACATTTCTTAAGGCTTTATAACTACATCATACTTATACTCAGACATGCTTTACAAATGGCCACCGGGGTTCCTAAGGAATCTTTCTTCATGGGCTTGGGATGTATGACATCAGTATTCTTTAACTTATCTTCTTTTTCCTTCCCAGGAAATTCTACCCAATGTGTTATTTCTCCATCTTCGGAGTTTCCTGAAGGGTTTTTTACGAAACAGGAACGAGTAGAGGGAGGCATCATCATCTACTTCCTGATTATCCTTTACATGTTCATGGCTGTGTCGATTGTCTGTGATGAATACTTTCTGCCTTCTCTTGAAATTATCAGCGAAAGTAAGTAACTGGAAATCTCTCCTAGACCTCCCAGAATATTCAGTTGTGTCACACTTTGTGACAATGTGGCAATGATGATTCCGCCCATCTCAAGTGATGGCAATGTTCTGTCTTCTGTGTTGTGGGGTTCTAAGTCTAAGGAACTGGATGCAGTATAGTTATTCCTGGCAGTTAATGTCAAGGAGAGGGTCTTAAAATGAGCATAAATCGGGCTGCAAACCTTAAGGTCAGCAGTTTGAAACTACCAGCTGTTCCGCCAGAGAAAGATGAGGCTTTCTGCTCCAGTAAAGATTTACAGCCTCGGAAACCCTGTACAGAGTCGCTATGAGTTGGAACCGACTCCACGGCACATTCCCACCACTGTTCCTATTATACTACTTATGATAAGAACGGAGTCCTGGTGTGGCGCTATGGGCTAACGCGCTGGAATGCAAAGTTGGTTTGAGCCGCAAGATTGGTGGTTCTTAACAACAGCATCACGAGAAATTGCCTCCTATTTGTCCACTATACAAGTTTGACTTTTATAGACTTTCCAAGGTTTCACACTTATGTACTTGATGTGTCCTTAATACGTAATCTGGCAATTTTATATTTTTTTACAAAATTCATTTTTATTTTAAAATCCAAACATATTTTTTAAGAAAATAAAAAAAAAAAAGCAGTTAAAGCCTCTTCTCTCCTGCCTATTCCCTTCCTGGAGCATTAAGTAAAACAAATTAATGTCTACGAACCAAATATTTGTTGTTGTCCTTGTTGTTAGGTGCCATTGAGTCAATTCCAATTCATAACGACACCATATGCAGAGCAGAACAAAACACTGCCCAGTCCTGTGCTAGCCTCATTATTGTGTTTGAGTCCATTGTCACAGCCACTGTGTCAGTCCATCTACTGAGGGCCTTCCTCTTCTTCACTGACCTTCTACTTTACCAGGCATGATGATCTTCTCCAGGGACGGTTCCTTCCTGATCACATGCACAATGTATTTGAGATACACTCTGATCATCCTGGAACATTCTGGCTGTATTTCTTACAATACAGATTTGTTCATTCTTCTGGCCCACCCAACCATTGCCATCAATTCCTATTCCCAATGACCCAATACAGTATGTCATTTGATTTCCTGACGGCTGCTTCCATGGGTGTTGAAAGTGGAGGAAGGACCTGGAGATCTACTTCTAAAAGAGAAATAGGCCAAAGGAAAACCTCATGAATAGCAGCGGAACCAAACATTAAAAATAAATCAACAACTTCTGAGAACTATATAACTGATCTCAGGCATTAGATAATTATAGATTCAGTTATTAAAAACTAAGCTTAATTACTGATGTCTGAAAATAAGATGAACTGTCCAAAGCTCTCAGCTCTACCCCTCTAGCCACTACACTGCCCAGGACCCTGAATATAGACCTTTCTTGGTAGACTGCGCCCCCAAATCAGATCTTTTATGACAGATAAGCAAAAGCAACAATGTTCCCAGTCCCTGCCTCCTGCTTGCTTCATCAGTTGAACATGCTTGTTTCAAAGCAAATCATTGGTTAGGGTTAGGTTTCCTGCCCAGAAATATTATCCCCTGTCCCAACACACACACTGTGTGCACTAGCACGTCTTTACAGGGAAATAGCATGAGCATAAACTCTCTCTCACTCCCCCACTCTTCATTCCTGCTGAAATGCAGCACAAGTGATTTTCTTTCTTGTTACTATAGTGCAGTTGCATCCTCTGGATCTACCTGGCAATAGAGAAGGAGGCACGCAACACTCAACACATACTTGATTAATCAAGAACTCAAATTAGAGGTCAACATAAGTTTATTACAATTTACTTAAGTGAATGTAAATATTTACTTTACATTGCATTTAGCATTTCACCTTGACACTGCCACTTCTCTTTAAGTGAGTTAGAATTTTCATTTAGGTGAGAGAATATGTTATTGAAATAAATTACATCTTTTTCTAATTAATAGCAATACACTGTTTGTAAAAATAGCACAAGATGCAAAAAAATAAAAAATAAAAAAACCCACAAGAAAAAATTAAAATCATGACAATCAGAGAAGAGACTGAAGTTATCAAGAATTTTATTTTGCTTGGATTCACAATCAACGTCCAAGGAAGAAGCAGTCGGGAAATCAAACAACATATTGCATTGGGAAAATCTGCTGCAAATGACTGTTTTAAGTATTAAAAGGTAAAAACATCACTTTGAAGACTAAGGTGAGCCTGATTCAAGCCATGGTATTTTTCAATCACCTCCAGTCACCTTATATACATGTGAAAGCCAGACAATAAAAAGGAAAGCCCTAAGAATTGGGGCCTTAATGTACTGTAGATGAAGAATTATGATTTTGGCTAAATATATTGCATATACCATGGACTGCCAAAAGAACAAATAGCTCTTTGTTGGAGAAAGTGCAGCCAGAATGCTCCTTAGAAGCCAGGATAGGGAGACTTCATCTCATGTACTTTGGAGTCCTTATCAGGAAAGGCTGGTGGTGGTGGTGGTTATGTGCCATGGAGTCGGTATGGAGTTGGTATGGAGTCGGTGGTTATGTGCCAGGAAGTATGTATTTGGTTGGTTTGGTTTTTCGGTTTTGTGTTTCCACTATGTGTTAGAAGTTCCCTGGTGATGAAAACAGTTTATGAAAAATGTTCAGCTGCTAACAAAAAGGTTAGAAATTTAGTACCCCCTTGAAGAAAGTCCTGGTCATCTACTTTTGAAAAAGCAGCTAGCGAAAACTATTTCAACTGTAACACACATGGAGTTACCATGGGTCAGAATCGACTCTTCAGCAACTCATTTGACTTTTGCTTTTTACTGTGTGTTAGGAGCTTGAATCATGAATATGTAGAACCATGGATTACCATGCAATCATTATAAATCATGTTTTTGAAGATTATTTAATGACATGGGAAAATGTGCAAAAGAAAATAAATAAAAGGAAAGTGTGTGTGTGTATGTGTGTGTGTGCAAGATTCAAAAGACTGAAAGGAAATACGTCAACATGGTAACTGTGGGATCTCTAAATATGGAAATACGTTGTTGCTGTTTTTAGGTGCCGTTGAGTCAGTTTTGACTCATAACACCCATATGTACGACACAACAAAACACTGCTTGGTCCTGTACCATCCTCAGAATCCTTCTATATGTGAGCTCATTGTTGTAGCAACTGTATAAATCCATCTCCTTGAGGGTTTTTCTCTTTTTCACTGATTTCTGCTTTACCAAGAATGATGTTTTCTAGGAAACTGGCCTCTCCTGAGAAGGAGCTCTGGTAGCGTAGTAGTTATGAATAGGGCTGCGAACCTCAAGGTCAGCAGTTCGAAACTACCAGCTGTTCCGCAGGAGAAAGATGAGGCTTTCTGCTCCCGTGAAGATTTCCAGCCTAGGAAACCCTGTACAGGGTTGCTATGAGTCAGAACTGACTCCACAGCACATAACAACAACAATTCATCTTATAGTACATTCTATGCAGTTTTTTTTATTTGTTTGTACTTTTTGGTTATAAGTAATGCTATGACTATATGTGGATCATTTTCTGGTAAAGATGCAGAGCTATGCACTCTTTGATGGCAGAAAGCATTCCACAATTGCTGTTCCAACTTAAATCTCCACAACATGTAGCACACCCATTGAAGAAAACCACAGAGAGCATTCTAAATATCTTTGTTGTTGTAAATGGTACATTTTTAAAAATTGATATTTATTTTATTACTAGTGGTGTTGAACATTTTATATATTTACTGGCATTTGTGGCTTTGCTTTGGTGCATTATATATTTGTGTTGTAAGCTCATATTCCATTTGGAATATTTCGCTTTTTCTTAGTGGTTTTCAAGAGCTATTTAAAATATAAAGCTGTTAACTTTTTACTGATATAACTGTATGTTTTTTCATGCTGGGTTATTTGCTTTTGTATTTTCTTATGTTTATCACGTTGATGTTTACATTTATTAAAGTAAAATTATAAATATTTTCCTGTATGACTTGTCATATAGGAAATTATCATATTTTCTTCCATTGATATTATAGTTTGTCTTATATTTAAATTTCTTTCCATTTAAAATCTGTTTGCTATAGAATAGAGTTTCACTTTCTCCAAAATTATATATGTGTGTATGTGTATGGTGGTGGTGTGTCATGGAGTCAGTTCCAACTCATAGTGACCCTGTATAGGGTTTTTGAGACTACAAAACCTCATCTTTCTCCCACAGAATGGCTGGTAGTTTTGAAGTGCTGACCTTGAGGTTTGCAGTTCCTTTGTATGTGTACACACACACACACACATATTAGCTCTGGTAGTGTAGTGGTTACAAGTCAGGCTGCTAACCTCAAGGTCAGCACTTCAAAACTACCAGACATTCCACAGGAAAAGATGAGGCTTTCTGCTCCCGTAAATATTTACAGCTTTGGAAACTCTATACAGGGTCACTACGAGTTGGAACCAACTCCATGGCACATTACCACCACCACTATATATATGTGATGGTGTGGCATTGTAGGATAAGCACTGAATTGAAAACCACAAGGTTGGCAGTTCAAACCCACCTGCCACTCCTTGAAACCCCTGTACAGGGTTGCTATGAGTCAGAACCAACTCAACAGTACTTAACAACAATGATGACATATTTAACTTTGTTGCAATAATACATTCATGCTATTGTCAATATCATGCTTTTAGTTAGGAAAACTATAACTACATAAATGATGTTAATCATATAAGACTAAGAAATTTCAAAATCAAAGTACTACATCCTACCTAGCATCCTTCTCTTGCTGTCCTCCTGTAATATACAAAATCGCTTTTTTTTGTTTTGTTTTGCTTTCACATTTCTGAACGATGATTCAAATGAATGATGACCCAAATGGAAAAATGAATCCACCAATAATTTTATTTTTTTAAAAAAAAGTATTTGAGAGAAGTTAAAAAAAACTTCTAGTCTTATAGAAGAAAAACAATGCATTAAAATTTTGATGATAGTTTCATCATAATCTTCATTGTCA